CTCTGCTTTTTAAGATTCTGTCTAGGTTTGTCATCACTTTAAAAGCTTGCTTAATACAAATAGGCCTCTTCCGTTGACCTAGTAAAAATATTGCCCCAGTATGGACTTTGGAGTTTCTTTTAGGGTTGCCTCGAGTCTTCTGTGTATGCATTTTGGTGGCTGAGATAGAGCATTCACGGGTTTCCCTTCACAGATGCAGAATTTGTAGGGTTCGTAAGCTTCAGAGAGGGCCCTGAACCTAGTCTAGGGAGACTTGGAAATGTCATTAATGAAAACAACAGTTTGTTTGTGCCATATTTTTAAAGAAACAGTACATAAAGGCTTGCTTTTTGAGTTGCAGTCATCCTCATTTCAGTGGGTGGCCTGTGGCTTTTTTGGGGAAATAAAATATTTCTCTTACCGTGCACCCCAACCCCCAATTTTCTTTGCATGTTCGTGGTACGAGGCATGTTGGGAAATTGGTTTTTCTCCAAGCAATTGAATGTAGAACTAACATGTGTTTAAAAAATGAGCCCAAGAAAAACATTGTCAAAGCATTTTGTAGACTGTCCACCAATATCACTGACTTACACTAAAGGCAAGTCACCTTTTCCGTAAAAAAGAGGTGGATTTCAGGTAGACTCTTGTTGTGGAAGAGAGACGTAGGCGCTTGGTCTCACTTGAGGGGAGAGGATGTGGAAAGAGCTGGGTAGGCAGGCAGGAAACTATCAAGATGGTGTTGGCTAAATATTGGCATGCCATATTCTGTGTCTGCCGCATCATAGAAGGATTGTTTATTTCTTGCTGATATGAGAATAATGGTTTAGAATCATTGCTTTAGAGGCCTTCAGGGTGACTCTGTTGCATTTCACACCCATCTTCTCAAAACTTTAGAACTGATGAAACAGGGGTTGGCCAAGGCAGCCTGCACAAGGCGTCTGCAGAATTCTTTTTTTAATATTTGTATGCTTACCGCTTTTAGGTTTTAAATGCTGACTTTTCAGCGATGTAAGCCGCCTTGGGTTCTTTTTTAAGGAGAAAGGCGAAGTAATCCTACTTTGAATGAGCGAACGGATGTTTACTTACCTGCGAGGGAGAATGGGAGAGGAAGGTTGGAGAGCACCTTGTATTTCTGTTCTTGGGCAGGGCAGAGCAGGATGGGCTTCCCTCTCCTGGCAATATCTTCTGTTCCCTGTGCAGAGGACATTTTTTATCAGCTAGCTCCCTTCCCTCCGTGGAATTCCTCACACATGCCTATATGCCGTCTGCTGTGGCTGCCAGGATCAATCTATAATGATAATAATCCTGACTCGTGACCCTTTTCAGGGTCTTCTATAGGTAAACAGTGCTCGGACGTGGTCTCCCATCCCTTTCTTCTGAGGACACTTCTGAGACTGTACAGCTGGCCCAAGGCCCCACAGGCTGGCCCTTCTGGACTCCCAACCTCTGGCTCCACAGCCAGAGACCTAACTCACTGAGCTATCCAGCCAGCCTTGCATCAACATAAGGCTTGATTAAATTGGGTTTAGAGTAGTTACAGTTCCTTCAGCCATTCTTTCCCATCTATAGTTGGGGAAAGTTCTTGCAACCATTCAATATGGATGAAAATGTTATTCAACTAGGCGGTTTTCTATGTTGCTTTATACCATAAAGGAGTATTTTTGTGCTGCCGTCATTTGTGTAATAGTTACGTGCGCAGTGCAGCTGAGCTTGGACTTGTGGCTAGGAAATGGGATGTGAGGAACAGTGTTGATTCTTCTGTCATTTTTTTCCCCATGACAGTTCATGGAATCATAGAATAATTTAATTGGAAGGGGCCTATGAGGCCATTGGCTTCAACTCCCTGTCCAAAGCAGGGATCCAGATCAAAGCAGATCTGAAGGAGGGTTTTTCAGTTTTCTCTTGAATGCCTCCAGCGTTGGGAGCGCTCACCACCTCATAATGTCATGGGTTCCGTTGTCATACTGCTCTAACAGTTCAGAATTTTTTCCCCTGATGTTCCGCCTATTCAGTTCAAACCAAGCCTGGATTCCTGTTGAACCGTAGATTCTGTTGACCTTGGTGGCACCAGGAACAGAAGCTCCTCGTTCTGGTCTTGGAGCATATATGGGGGGAAAGCAGCTGATGGAAATGCATATGCTTCATCACAGCCCTGTTATCCCTGTAACTTGTAGTTCTGATCTTACCGCTTTTAAGTGAGTCAAGGCTGAGACCTAACATATGGTTACCAGGTATAGGTTGTCGCTCAGTGTCCATGGGTCTGAATCCCATTGAACTTGGTTGGACCCTCTGAGTTCAGAAGCCCAGAATCACAGTACATAGGCCTATTATTGCTTCGTGGAGCTAACTTGATTTTTCTTTTTCAGACTTCATGAAGAAATCCATGACTTCTACAAATACATGTCTCCCAGACCTGAAGAAAAGAGGATGCGGATGGAGGTGGTGAACAGGATAGAGAGCGTTATAAAGGAGCTCTGGCCCAATGCAGATGTAAGGTTAACAAACTTCTGCTTAGTTATCGGGAGGAGTGGGGGGTCCTGTTTGTTTCTGGGAAATGCTTCCCTGAATAGGGTTCTAGGTGTATGTTTGGCCTCGGATCCACAACTCTGCAGTTAAGGAAATGCAAAGCCTAGAATAAAATTAGGTAAATGCTTACCTAAGTTTTTAGAAGGCCAGCAGAGGCAAAACTGCTGGTCAGGAAGAGTTAATGCTCTGGATGAGAGCAGCTTGGCCAAGTAAAGTTCAGTTGAAACCATTCCAGTTTCTAGCTATCCAGTGATTCAGCAGGAGTGGCATCGTAAGGGGCTGCAGGTCAAAACCTATCTTTTAAAACCTTCAACTTCCATTTCACCCCTTGTCGGCCCCCTTTCCTCTAGACCCCAGCGGGTGGAAGCGGAAGTGGCGTCGGAAGGGGGAATCCCGGGCATGGAGGTGCCTTAAAACCTTCAACTTCCATTTCACCGCTTGTCGGCCCCCCTTCCTCTAGACCCTGGCGGGTGGCGTCGGAAGCAGAAGTGGTGTCGGAAGGGGGAATCCCAGGCACGGAGGTGCCTCCAGACCCTATTCTGGATCCGCCTCCCGTTGTGCCAAACTCCACCACTGCCTAAAGCTCGGCCAGCCCACTGCCTCCATTGCCAGCTGCTCCAGATCCTGGCCTGCTGGAACGCGAGCATCACGGCAACAGCCTCTTCCTCTGCCTCCATTGCCACCTGCTCCAGATCCTGGCCTGCTGGAGCGCGAGCATCACGGCAACAGCCTCTTCCTCTGGTTGGCCTGCCGGGGGGGTCACAATCCAGCAAGTTACGACTCACGCATCCAGTGAGAGGGCTCTGCGTGCCAGCTGTGGCAAGCGTGCCATAAGTTTGCCATCACAGCTCTTGACTGTCCCCTTTAACTTTCCCCCGTAGGAAATTTATAGGTGGCAAAAGAGCTGCGAATCTCCCCGAGTAGTCTTGAAACAGATGCATGGCTAGATTTTTGACTGTGTTGACCTTTGGAATTCTGTTACTCCTAATAATTAGCAAAAGGGCCGCATGTAAACCATGCAGCCAAATCAGGTGACTTGAATGGTAGCTCCTTTTTTTTACAGGGGCTCAGTTTCTGTGTACTCTGAAACCTATGTAAAGTGGGGAGTGGGGGGGGGACGTCAGCTAATTGCTTAGTGGCTGACAAATTAAGCAAACAGCTAGCACCCTGCCCAGACCCTATTCAGATTTTTCCCACTAACTCAAGCCAGTCATACTTGGCTGCAGAGCTCTAGATACGGAAACGTGAAATTGGGAGAGAAAGAACGTCTGCAGGACTTTATGACTTTTTGATAAAGAGCCTAGAGGAGAGAGACACAGAAAGAGAGAGAGAGAGTATATAATTAGCATGTCTACGAAAACAATAAGACAGAATTGGTGTTAAGCGAGCCTTTCTTAAACTATGATTTTATTTATAGAACCCAGCAATTGTGTCATTTGCTCTGTTGCTCCAGGGAATGTGCTTAGACAGGAACATTCCTAATAGGTGAGAACTGTTCTTGGCATCAGCCGGACTCCCCCATAAGAGTGGCGAAGAGAGGCTTTAATTATCCTGGGATTGAAACGCTAGAGTGGACGAGAAGAGGAAGCACGTTAAATTCATTTGGGGGAAAAGAAAGTGAACCTTATTAAAACGAATCAGCAGCAGGCTGTTAGGATTAGCACGACCCTTAGAGGCCATCCGGTTTCTTTCTTGGCACTCTGCCTAAAAACAATATTACGGAAACGGGACGGGTGGCGATGACTTTTCTGTGGGTGTGCTTTCCTGCCTCCTTTCAAACCTGCCCTGTAAAATCAGGGATCAAAATGCCTCCATGCAGAAACACCATGCGGCACCTGTATGATATAGGGGTCCCATTCCTTCAACGCTTGCGGGCAGAGATGAAAAGGCTGCCTGCCAACATAAAGGCCCAGGGACGGCTTTATCATGTACCTGGTGCGTTGAGGGTGAGTTGAATTGAAAGATCACCCATGTGGTCCTCGTAGTTGAGCCAGGCCTTCCAGATAGCCGCCCCGAGTAGACGTTGTCTAGAGGGGCGGGGTAAAAATCGAATAAAATAAATAAAATAGAACACTGTTGTGCATGTGTTTTTATCACATGGCCTCCACCTTGTATGCTGTATGATTATGATAAGAGCTAGATGAAGCCTTTGATGTTATAAAAGTCGGCGTGGCGTGGTTTGCCCTTTAAAAAGCATCAGCAGGGAGGTGATTCGGTGGTAAAGAACATTTGGCAACGAGAACGTCTGACATTGAGTTTCAGCCTCCTCTAGTTAAAAGCATTGAATTGTGTGTTGGGGGGGGCGGAAACGTCCTGTTCAGCCCCGTTCTCTCCCCCCCAATGCCATGACTCTGGCCACCCCAGAATGTAATTCTGAACATCTTTGCGGCTTAGAAATTAGAAAGTTCCCCCTGCTTGATAGCAGGAACCTCTTAGGATTAGCAGTCGGCCGGCACGTTTTAGAAAGTGAAGGCGCAGCAGCAACTTGATCCACTGAAGAGTCAATACTAATGTCTTTTACTGTAGCCAGACTGAATATTTTCCATAATCTACCAGCTGATGGCAGCAACCCTCAATGTTACTATTTATTCCATGTTTTTGGAGAAGAATTTTAACTTACAGCTTGTGCTATTTTTCCCCTCCCCCCAGGTGAAGATATTTGGAAGTTTTAAGACTGGTTTATATTTACCAACTAGGTGAGTACTTATTATTATATTTATATCCTCCCTCCCACCACAACCCCCAGAGCTCAAAGCAGCATACACAATTCCCCCTCCCATCTACCCTTCACAGCAGCTTATGCTTGTGTCACTTGAAATGAACACATTTTCCCTGTCTTATATAAGTGATATTAAGGCTAGACAGCAGCCATTTTTATGATGCTGAGCTGGGACATTATATAATTTTATTGGAAAGCGTATTTGAAGTTAAAAACGGTCACTCTTAAATAAGTTGTATTCTTTTCCTTTTTTTTAAACCTGTCTCCCAACCAAAGACATGTTCATTTATTCTGAATCATTCCTGCATTGAGCAGTGGGTTGGACTCAATGGGCTTATAGACCCCTTCCAACTCTATGATTCTATGAATCTGTTTATTTAGAACCTGCATTGAGGGGTAGAAATCATTCCATGCTGTATTTGCGAAGGCTTTCACGGCCAGGATCTAATGGTTGTTGTGGGTTTTTCGGGCTCTTTGGCCGTGTTCTGAAGGTTGTTGTTCTTAACGTTTCGCCAGTCTCTGTGGCCGGCATCTTCAGAGGACAGCACTCCCAAGCAAACTACAACAGAGCACAGAGTGCTACAACAACCATTCCATGGTGGCTTATAAGTAAATAAAAATACAATGATGGAATTAAAATGGGATGATACCAAAGTTATTCAGAGTCCTCACATGGGGCAGTTAGTGGTACATGGTTCAGGGTGGGAGGAAGACAGCCTGCCTGGAGTGTCTTAATCAGCTTCCTCTGTTCCTCACCCACGAGGCCTGGACTTTGGCAGCCCTGCTTAACATTAATGGCCACCTAAAAGATAGTTTGAACTGTCTTTTGCCGTATGGCCTTGATGTCAGTGCCCAGTGAAATTTCTTCCGTGTTACCGCCTGGACCAGTTTGGCAGGTTACATTTTGACTTGCTAACCAGAAGTAGGTACCAGCTTCCTGCACCCACTGCTTTGCCCAGGGGTGAGAATAAGCTCCAAAAAGCCCCAGTGAACCATAGATGTTTCTGTTTACATAGGAATGTACCATTTTTGTCCATGTATAAGACTATACTTTTGTCTAAAATCTTTAGACTAAAAATTGGGGGTTGTCTTATACACATAAGTAAGCTGAAGAGATAACAAAAACAAGTGGAGGGGAAAACAGGGATCAAAGCCATCCTGCAGCGCTTTGATCCCTTTCCCCCTGCACTTGCTAATCCCCATTTAGATTTCTTAATTTTGGATTAGAAAAGGGGGGGGGGCATCTTATACACGGAAAAAATACGGTAAATGTTGCTAGCCTTTGGCATTAAAGGAAGACTGTTAGTTTCCGGCCCTAGATCTTTGATCCAAAACAACGAGTGTTTGGGATGTTTTCGGATTGCAGTCCCACGGTTCTCCCTTCCGGGAGTCTCCCTTTCCAGGCCCAAGCCTGAAAGACCGCCTACATTGGGTTCACTGGGGGTGAAGGCCCAGCTGGGAGGCTTCAGACCTTGGATAGAGCCACCTTTTTTGTTGTTGTTTGAAAATGAAGTTTCCCAAGAACCCTTGGGGCAGCTTCCTTTTCAAACAGGAAACTAGGCCTATGCAAGGCACAAAGTCCCAGTTTTCTCTCCAGGAGAGAACAATTTTAAGATCTGTAAGATCTGGCTCCTGCATGTGAGATTCCCGGAAAGGAGAACTGTGGAATTTGGGCTGAGAAGGCCCAGCTGTCAAGGCTTCGTGCCCTGAATGGACCGAACATCTTGTTGAAAATGAAGCTTCCCAACGACCCCCAGGGGCAGGTTTCCCTTTTCAAACAGGAAGTTAGGCCCGCCTCCCATTCTGATTCAGAATCTGCTTTCCCGAGTGAGAAACAACCTTCGATTTACTGTTTCGTTTTGTTTCTGTTTTAAATTCCAGTGATATTGACTTAGTGGTGTTTGGGAAATGGGAGACGTTGCCCCTGTGGACCCTGGAAGAGGCTCTCCGAAAGCACAACGTGGCCGATAAAGGCTCCGTAAAGGTTTTAGACAAAGCAACGGTAAGTTTCCTTTTCCCTTTTCCTTTCCTTTCGAAAAAAGACGATGTGTTGTTTCTGGGAAGATGATGTAAAGAAACCTCTTGCGGTCCAGACGCTCTTGGTCAGCGAGGGGAACAAGGCAGGGTCAATGGCTGTCCAAGGTTCTCTCTTAAGGTGCGCGGCTGCGTGACTGTGTGGGTGGATTTTGGGGGAAGGGAAAGGAACCCTCTCTTCCTTTCCAGGGTAGGCACAGAGACCATCCAGAGATGCCAGGCAGGGCATGCAGGACAGCTCTGTGGGCCTTTAGCTTCTACGGCAAGCAAGGCGTGTTTGAGATGTGTGTGTAATGCTGTTCCTACAGGCCCTGTAGACTTTCCAGTGCTGGAAATGCAAAACACTTTTTTAAAAAAAAAAGACATTTGTATTTTTAGATGCGCGCGGTTCCTGTTTTTATTATTGGTGACATTTGGGTGGGTGGGTGGAATAGGGGGCCGAGGAGAAACACTTATCTAACGTCGCTGCTGGGATGTTGAAAGATCACAGATGAGTAATCTCTGCAGGCAGTATCAGTAGCACTTGAAGACGGGAAGGGAGGGATCAAAGATTCACAGCGGGTTGGACTCCATGGCCTTACGGGCCCCTTCCAACTCCATGATTCTATGAAAGGAAACTGAATTCTTAGTTCTTTTTATGAAGCTCCTCTGTTTTGCTCCGTTTGCTTTTCTGTCCCACCGGTGGTAGGGCTTTATGCCTGTGTTTCTCAGGAAATTTCAGAGACTGCCGCACACTTGAGGGAGTAGAGGGGAACAACCAGAAGCTGTTTGAGAAATACGGCATTGGTGGAAGATGGTTGATCAGAGGAGTGGTCCAGCCTAAGGACAGGCTGAGCTCTTTCAGTCCTGATTTTCTGGGGGTCCGTGGTTAACCACGAGCCACGAACCAGCTCGATTTGTGCCCACCTCCAATCCTGACCTTCGTAAAGGACACCTCTGTGATTTAGAGGAGGCTTTTGAATCTTCAGCAGGCTTCAGCGCTGTAATTTGGATCCCAACGAGATCCAAATTCCAGTTCTCACTTGAGGGCAGCGTTGTCTTTCAGCAGGAGCTCAAGAAGCATCTCTATGTGATGTGAGTTGCTTGCTCTTTCTGCCCTGTGCCTTTTCCTTCACCGCCCTTGTAGGAATTTTTTTTTTCATTCTGTGGCCTTGTGTCTCCCCCTGCTGTCTGTTTATGACTAAAAGTCGTTTGCTTTGGGCTTGAAATACTGTCTTGTCCCTGAAGTGCTGTATAAAAGCCCTCTCGTGCCCCGCGGAAGACGGGATTCTATAAAGATTAGTTTTGTTTAAGTGAGGGCTGTGCGAACGGAGGCTAAGTGAAGCAGAAAAAGCTCTTTCTCTGACATAAACATTGTGTTTTACTCTTTCCTTAGGTACCGATCATTAAACTGACTGATTCCTTCACTGAAGTAAAAGTTGATATCAGCTTTAACGTTCAGAATGGGGTAAAAGCTGCTGATCTCATCAGAGATTTTATCAAGGTGAGCTGATACCTGTGAACTCTTTCCTCCCAACACAGATTGCTCCCATTTGAATTTGGTTGGGAGCTGACAGCAGCAGACTTAACAGTAATGCACTTTCTTGAGAATTTTCACTGCTCCTTCTCTTCCTTTTTCAGCTTAATCTGGTTTGGCTACCCGGCAGCGTAAAGAAATGCTAGAGAAGTTTTAAGGAGGGAAAGGGATTTTAAAAATTCTTGTTAATGCGTTCAGAAGAATCGGGTTTTAATTAGCAAAAGATTGTTTGTAGGATGGACTCACTTTTACAGATGCATTTTAATGGAGGGGTCTTCCAGTTCCCAAAGGGGGACCCCCTAAGGGTCACATGGAGCCATGCTTTGTTCAAATTGGTCTCCAGAGGTTCTTGGACTACAACTGAGGGTCACATGGAGCCATGCTTTGTCCACCTTGAATAGTAGTTCCCAACCTTGAGTCTCCAGAGGTTCTTGGACTACAACTCCCAGAAGCCTTCTTCACCCCTCGCTGTGCTGGCCAGGATTTCTGGGAGTTGTAGCCCAATAACATCTGTGGACCCAAGGTTGGGAACCACTGGTCTAGAATTTTTTTTCTAAAACATCTGGCTCTAAAAGAGTCCTTCGCCTTATTTTACATTTTCCCCCAGCAGAGGGCACCAGAGAGTAGGCAAGGAGTTGGTCCGTTTTAAATGCCGCTTTCAGAGCAACTTTTCCCTAGATGAATTCATGCTTTGTAATTAACGCAAAGCAAAGTTTGTACACTGACAGTAAATTGGCCGCTTCGGGAGTGTTGTAAATGGGCCGATACATTTATTTTGACAGTTAAATTCCGGTGGCTGAGAGAACGAGTGAGCCAATGAAAAGTACCCAGTGACTGAGCGCACACATTTTTTGCCTTGCGATAAACAGCGCTTGCTGTCAACCGGCCAGTTTCCTTGGGGTGTTTCGCCAAGTAGACCAGGGAGACAGCCATGGAGTTTGTGGGGGCCTCATCTGCCTCCTATCCACCACCACCCCCGGCTTGTGCCCCTTACAAACCACAGCCAGCCACTTTTGCAGAAATTCAAGTGACTAGATAGTTATTTTTGGGTTTCCCCCCCTACAGTGTTTTCAAAATGTCTGCAAGTTTGACCACAGCCCAGATGAACTGGGACAGAACCCACCCTTGTTGGCTCTACAAAAATCAACTGTGTTCATCTGAATAATTTCAGAAAATGTGCCATTAAGTAAGAATTAGAGTAATGCATCTATTCTGCTCTCCCATTTCTTGCCTTGGTCCTTTTAAGAAGAAAGGTGGGGTAGAAATACGCTTAGTTTCTTATTTACTAATTAATTAATTATGTTAGAGCCTGGCTACACAGCCAAAAAAAAAAGTAGAAACATGCTTAGTTTCTTATTTACTAATTAATTAATTATGTTAGATCCTGGCTACACAACCAAAAAAAAAAAAAGCAGGAAAACCAGCCGTTCATGGCCATCGCTAATCACAGTGTCATTTCTAGCAGCATATGTGACAGAGTTGTGCTTTTTATGCACGATGTTGGTGAAGTGGAGTTCTGATTCCCATTTCCTTTTTTTCTCTTGCAGAAATATCCTGTATTGCCATATCTAGTTTTAGTTTTGAAACAGTTTTTATTGCAGAGGGACCTGAATGAAGTCTTCACAGGTGGAATCGGATCTTATAGTCTTTTTTTAATGGCTGTCAGCTTCCTCCAGGTAAATTATGAGCTCCTTTCATTACATGGCTTTTTAAAAAAAGAAAATAGTTGCATGCGTTCTTGTTTGCAGTAATGCAGGCTGCACATTAAACTTAATCTGCGCAGCTTGTGGGTGGTTGGGGTAATAACAAATCTTTAATATAAAACACTGTAGAATACTGCTTAGACTCTCTGCTTGTTAATCTATGCAGTTATATTCCTTGGAGAGAAAGACCACTATGTTTAAAACCACAACTTGTAATAACCTTTCTAAAGGACGAGCACTTTCAGCTGAATGAAGGATCCCTCTCTTTGCTTTTTGTAGAGTTCTCCTCCACACGACCTTTCTAAAGGATGAGCACATTCAGCTGAATGAAGGAACCCTCTCTTTGCTTTTTGTAGAGTCCTCCTCCGCACGAGCTTTCAAACGGAGATGCTTTCATTTTACCTTTCGAGTTTTATTTTTAAAGGGCCTGTAAAGAAAGAAGGAGAAACTATCTTAACGCAATATTTGTTTTTTTTTTTTTTACAACAGCTGCACCCCAGAGAAGATGCCTGCAACCCCGATGCCAACTACGGGGTTCTTTTAATAGAATTTTTCGAACTCTACGGCCGTCATTTCAATTACCTGAAGACTGGAATCCGAATAAAGGATGGTGGTTCTTACGTTGCCAAGGACGAAGTGCAAAAGAACATGCTGGATGGCTATCGGCCATCGATGCTGTACATTGAAGATCCCCTCCAACCAGGTTGGTGGAATCCCTGCTATCGCCCCCATGAAGGTTTTTTTTAAGATGAATTTGTGCAGAGCACAATTCTTAAATCCCTGGCGTCTGCCTGGCTCCGGATTGTTAGTCCTTCATAGAATTAGACCCACTGGCTGAAATACAGTGGTCAGTCACAACAAGAGTAGGCCATTGAATCAGTAGAACTTGCCTAGGTGTTGACTGAACAGATCTTCACTGATTCAGTGGGCCTACTCGAGATGTGACTTTTAGGTGTTGACTGAACAAATCTTCACTGATTCAGTGGGCCTACTCGAGATGTGACTTTCTCCTGGATGTCAGCTGTGGCATCTATGGAGCCTACGCAACAGCTGACTTATCGCTCAGCAGTTGATTCTTTAGTTCAGGCACTCTAATGAAGACAACTAGAGACGGGCACATACTAAGAATGTCATTCGTTGATCCTGGTCTTAACCAGCAGTGACCTCAATGAGGAGCCACGTCCTTCCGATATCTTGCTCTCCAATTATACTTTAAAAAAGTCATTGCCAGCATTTTCAGTGGTGTCTGGAAACAAACCAGAAGCCAGTGCAGCTGTTCAAACAAAGGAGGAGTGTGTCCCACTTCAAGTATCTGGCAACTACATTCTGGATGAGTTGGGTGTTTCTGATAGCCCCTTGTTGGGTGCAAGGCAGATGCGATGCATCTTGTGTCCGTTTCCAGAGGCAACACATTTCAGGTGTCTTGCCATCTTTTCTTTGAAGACTTTGGATCACTCATCCTGCCGTCTTTTTCTTTCTTTCCGATCTTGCCTGCTAACAAGGCCAGACTTTGCCAAATTAGTCCTTAAACGTTGCATAGGGTTTGCTTTCCATCATCCCCTAGCCAGGCAGGTCAATGTTCAGAGACAATGGGGATTGTTGTCTTGACAACATCGGAGAGCCTAGTTTGGGGGTGGGTGGGTTAGGAAGGTTAAATTTAGCTCAAAGTGACAGTGATCAAAGGTAATGGGGATTTCTCTGTTGTTTTCTTTCTTGTAAGTATGCTGGTTAACTTTGTTCCTCAGGCTTTGGTCAGAGTCTCCTCGGAAGACAAACCTGGAGATCAAACTCATATTGATTTCAGCACTCTGTTGTCCAGAAGCAAATGGTCTCTTGTCTCCCAATCCCTTTGTTCCCTAGCTAAAGGGAGGAAAAGAACAGAAATCATGTATCCATTAAAGGAGGGTTATGCTGTGTTTGTCTTATAATTAGTGGCACTGATAATTTTCTTTGTCAGACCAAGAGGTTGATCGGTTTGTTTTAAAACTAGAGCTTCCTGGATCGGGTGAGGTTGGATTTTATTCAGAGGCCCTGTTTCCCTACGAGTCTCCTTTGTGAATGTATTGTTGTTGGTTCCTCTTCAGGTAATGATGTCGGAAGGAGTTCTTATGGTGCCATGCAAGTAAAACAGGCCTTTGACTACGCCTACGTCGTTTTGAGCCATGCGGTCTCACCAATAGCGAAATATTATCCCAACAACGAAAGCGAAAGGTAATAGATCGTATCCACATCGGAGGGATGGTTGGTTTCTCCTTCCGTCCCGCGCTCAGCCTTTAAACCCCATGGCGTTTTCTTTCTCTTCCCAGTATATTAGGGAGAATAATCAGAGTTACACAAGAGGTGGCAACGTATAGAGACTGGATATCAAAGCAGTGGAGAGTACAGAACAGCACTGAAACTTCGTGTAACGGTAAGGTTTTTTTCCTGCCTTGCCATCATCCTCTGGAACCAGAGAAGGCAGGCTCTATCACATAAGGTGTACGAGCTTGACAGTTCTGGACGGCTGTCCGTGTTTTGAAACAAGCTGGTTGTCCTCGAGAATTATAGGCAGAAGCTCAAAAGGGTTATGGCAGGATCCGGTTGGCCTTTGGGGCAGAAGGGTTGGTCCTGACAAGACCGGTTTGGTTCAGAGCCATCGCCTATGGTCAGAGGGTTGCCCTCATCTAAGATGGCTGCCATTTATGACTTATAAGCAAAGTGAACACAAGTTGCATGTCCTCCTCACAGTGGAATCAGCATATGCCGAAGCGGAAAAAGGACGCAGGCGCTGATTCCATTTACAGAACGAGAGCTGATTGAGGAACGTTGTATGGGTAGCGTGGATTTCTCTAACAGAAGGCAAACCAGTCTGCACTTGGGAGCAATTCTATTGTTACGAAAGGGTGCTTATGCTGTCCTCTCTGATCTCTGCTTGCAGGCAACGGTGTGACTTTGATAGTAGACAGCCAGCAGCTGGACACCTGCAACAACAACCTTTCGGAAGAGAGCGAATCGCTTGGGAAGCCTAGGAGTAAAACCTCAGAGACACCAAGCAAACACTCATCTAATTCTTCGTCAGGCCCTCTGTCATCGTCATCTTCCACACTTTCCAGCTCCAGTGACGTCGTAAGTGTTGTTTGCCAAACACCTTTCATCTGGATTACTCCAGGACACTCTTCAAGAGACCCCCAGAAGTCCAAAATGCAGCAGCCAGGCTGTTGAAGAGGGACTGTGTTATGCGAGACTCATGTTACCTCCTTGATGGGTTATCAGTCTGTCCCCGGACTCCATGTATTGAAACTGGGCCTTCAAACCCGAAGCAGTCTGGATTTCAGAGTTGCCTCTGCTAGCATGGACCTGTTAGCAAACCATGCTCATCTTCCAAGATCTACTGAACAGCTTGTGGCCTTTAGCAGCATTTCACTTTTGGGAAACTAAAATGTACACAAATCGGCAGTTTGTGCCGATTGGTCTTTTGGATGAACAGGTGTTCAGCGGTTTCCAGCTCAACTTCCTTTGGCAGGCAGCCACTCAGAGGCGGTGCCCTAGCTTCCCTGCCCCGCCTCCTCCAGGCGCTGCCCCTGAGTGGTCGCCTGCTAGAGGAGGCAGGGCTGGGAACTGCTGAACACACCTGTTTGGCCAAAAGATGAACCTGCCCATCTCTAACCCAACTATGCAGTAGGTACCCTGGAGGAAGTTTGTTTGCATCCCTCACCTGATTATGACATGTCCTAGTTTTTAAGAAAGATCACTGTATGTCGACGATTAGAATACTGAGGTTTAGGACAGCATCCACAGAATGTTTGTCCTCAGCGCATTCTGCGCTCATCCTTTCTGGAAAGAGGTGCAGTAGGTACCCCGGAGGAAGTTTGTTTGCGCCCCACCCCTGATTATGACATGTCCTAGTTTCTAAGAAAGATCACTGTATGTCAACGATTAGAATACTGAGGTTTAGCACAGCGTCCACAGAATGTTTGGTGGGAGATGTGCAGTCCTCAGAGCATTCTGCGCTCATCCTTTCTGGAAAGAGTGTGTGCATTTTGTGAGCACAAACTGGTACCCCAAAGTTATTGGACCCCTCATGAAAATGTGGTATAGCCCTCTGCATCCTCTGATCTTTGCGCGCAGCCTTTTATTTTCTTTTGTGGCATTTTTTTTAAGGCACTAACGCTCTGATTTTTCCTCCCATCTTTCTGCTTAACTGTCCGTCCACGTTTCTACAATACGTGATGGCTGTTTCCCCTGCCAGGAGTCAGATGGAACACCTTGCAAAACCTCTAAACAGCTGGGCTGCCGTCAAACTACCACAACCCAGACAGCTGGTCAGGACTTACCGCTGGCCTCCACCCAGCTGAGCGGGAAGATCCCAAGCAGTCAGACGGTGAACGCATCCAACGCTGCAAACAAATCTCAGGTTGGTGGAATGCCGGGCTTAGTTGTCTTCATCTTGTGTCTCTCTTCCCCCCTCCCAGGTCTGCAGGCCATGTTCCCTGATCCTGAGTTTAGACACAAACCAGCATCTCTGACTGTTGGAAGTCAGACAGCAATGTAAATCAGCAAAGCATGATAGATAGACAAGCCATTGTTGCCTGGAATGATTGAAACAAGGAATAATCTTGATATTCAGATGAATATTGATGTGCTTACCTGTGATTGTTCGGTGTCATTCTGGGATTAACCCATTGTTGAGAGAAATGCCAGCTGTGACAAACAACAGGTTTCGCCTGTGATTGTTCGGTGTCATTATTGAGATAAATGCCAGCTGTGACAAACAACAGGTTTCTGATCTTTGCCCAAACAGTCTCTGTGTTGCTCTGTAGGACTCCTGGGGGGAGTCAAGCAACCCGTCTTGGGTTTTGGCATGACCTTACAGTTAAAATTTGGAAACATGTCATGTCCAGTCTGCTGGTAGGGAGATACTTATTTCTGCATTTTTAGAAAAGCCTCCAGAATTAGAGAAATGGATCTGTTGGGGCCCCAGAGAACCAAATGGGGGATGGGAGGAATCTAAATAAATGCAGAGGAATGCAGATCTTTTGCAGCCTGAAATTCCACCGTAGAGAGTGTTACATCAGAATAACACCATAGAGAGTGTTAAATCAAAACACTGTACTGCGTTCACTGCAGAGTCTCATGGGTACCTTAAAGATTCATTAACTTTACTTGGCCTAAGATTTTGCAAATTCTAAGGCATTTGTTGAGATGCAGGAAGTAAGATCTCAATTGACAAGACCCTGATTAAAACAGGCTTGTGTTTATTGTGTTGTTGTGTCTTTAGTTGTGAACTGCCCAGAGTGGCCCTCAGCCAGATGGACAGTATAAAAATGAAATGAGATGGAATGAATCAATGAATCAATCAATCAATCAATCAATCAATCTTCAATATTTTGCAGCACGGATCCACGAGATTATTCCGCAGTTCTTCCAACAAAGCCTTCCAGAGTCCAGGGAATTCAAGCCACAGTCCCTCGGTGACAAACAAACCCCACCCGGGCAGCAAATCTCATCAATTTTGCCACGGCAAAAAAAGGAAACACAAGAGGGACGCGGTGCTTTCAGACCTTTGTAGATAGTTTTCCTCTCCAAAAAAAGAGAGAGAGAGAAGAAAAAATAGTTATTCTTCTGTGTGCAATGATCTCACACTACAAGAATAAGGTGGACCGCGACTCCCTCAGGAGGTCTCATCCGGGGTCTCAAGACTGTTGGGAATGTTGACTAGCAACACATTTTAGGGTTTGTTTGGTTTTTTTTTTCCCAGCTCGCCACGGAACTGATCATGAAGACTGATCACTGCAAAAAAAAGAAGAAAAAAAAGAAAAAGAAAAAAATATATTAAAAGATATTAATTAAAAAATATGGGGGGGGGGAAGGGGAGGGTGGAAGAGGCTGCTCATCGGATAAATTATATGCTACAACAGGGTTGTTTAAGGTATAAAAAGCTTGAATGTACAAAAATAAATATTTCCCATCAGCTCCTCCTGTGTTGGAAATGTAGGGGTAGGACTTGAGTGTGTTTAAGGGGTTGGTAATGGACTGAAGTAAACAAAAGGGGGTGGGGGGCGGGACAGAAAACACATGTATTCTAAGGGAGACCCAAAGCTCAAAGCAGAAAGAATAAATTTGAGCATGATAATTTTTTTAAAAATTATTTTGCATATATTTGCCATTTTATTGTGTATCTCTCTGTAGATGACCATATAGGAAAACTGACATTTGTAATAGTGGATTTGTTAATAACTTTTTACATAACATTACTGTTTAAATTGTAGAAACGACTCCCTCCTCCCCTTTCTCCCCCACCCCTCAGGATTAGATTAAAAACTGTTTTAAATCTCATTGTCAGCAGAACATCAGACGAATCTGGACGAAATAACACGGCTCAGAATTGTGGTGGGGTATTTTTTTCCTTCCCTTTTTTAGCCTTGAAATAATTTAATAGCACATTTATGCGTTCTGCACAAGTCGCGTCTCTGAAAGGAAAAAAAAAAGACGTGTTTTAAAGTGTACAAATGAATCCTTTGTGAACGCTAACCTTACAGTCCTCTCTGGAGAGGGGGGATAAAAAAAGAACTTTTCATCTTGTTTCTAAAGTGCCACGTTCTCAGGCAAAGGGATATTTCCAGGTTTTCCTTCTTTGTAAAACCAAGGGTTCAATGATGTATTATTTCTTGGACGGACAGATTTAGCCGCATGGAAAGAAAAACCACTGACGTTTGGTAATACCTGAATTTTGGAGAATGGTCTAAATCAGCCTTCTTGGGCCAGGTTCCCTTCAGAAATTTTAGACGGAAATATCCACCATTTCCCACCATGGGGTGATGGGACTTGCCATTGAGTTGATCTAGAAGGAAGGACATGGTGAAGGTAATCTACCCTGAATCTTAATCCTTTTCCGTGTGCCTTCATCCACATCTCCCCTTCTCATGAAAAGAAAAAAAAAACTTTTTGGAAAGAAAAATGTGGAGAGAAACAGACCTGGTTGGCCTTTTAAACATGCATGCATGCATGCGTTATCCTTCATCCCATTTTAGACCTTTTTTTAATCCACCCTTAAGAGAATTCAACAGATTTCAATAATGGGTTATTATTCCATTCCTATCGCGGTCTGAAGAGGTGGAACCAGCTTTTCCGATCTAGGTATTCCTTCACTGCGTTTCCCCCCCAGCCATTGAGCCTCAAAGATGTTTGAATGGACCCAACTCAGCCATACCGTTGTTGATTTTATGATTGCAGAGATGGTCACGTTACGAATGTGTAGAGCTGTAGTCGCTTGCGGTATTTGCAAACAAAAACAAAAGGAAATGGAGCACTTTAATTGATAGAATGTAAAGTGACATTTACTGTAATATTTTTTTTTCTTTTGAAGAAGAGTGTGTGTTTGTGTGAGCGAGTGTGTTCGAGATGTAAGACCCTATTTGGTGTATCCAGTCTGGGGAACGGTTAACAATCCCTTTTTCTTTTCTTTTTTTGAAGAGTAATGATCGCTTTTAGAGGTTTCTTTGACAGATTGCAGACCAACTTGACCAAGTGCCGGGAGCTTTTTAAGTAAAACAATGCGACACGACCAAAAAGAAAGAAAGAAAAGAAACAAAAAAACTGTCATGACTGGAAAAAAATTATAATAAAATAACATCTCTAGATGTTAAAGTATTTTGACTTTTCTTTTTAAAGGGGGGGGGAAGAAAAGGACATGTCTTAGCCACCATAATGCTGACAAACACTAAAATTATATATTATTAAAAAAAAGAATGTTCACTTGACAATAGTGTTCCGTTTAGATACCTGTTTTGTTCTGATTTTTTTAAAAAAATTGGCAAGATTTTAACTAGCATTTAGTACAAGCCGTCACATAATGCATTATCAGAGTATTTATTCTGAATTAAAGTATGTTTTATAATTGTGTAGGACTACCTTCAGTGCTTTGGGAACAAATTCTGAATTATATTAATCCAGTATTACTAGCTGCTGTTACCGAAAGCTGTTACAAATGTGTAATACAGCAATCTATATTACTTAACCACACTGAAGTTGTTGTTTTTTTTAAATATTATTTTAATTTTTATTTCGAAGGATTACCCTCTTGGTTGGAAAGGAACGTTCTGTCAGGATGCAGAGATTGGTGTTCCACTAAGTGTCTGATTTTTTTCATGTGGTGGTAGCGGGAAGATAATCTTGATTCCATTGGGAATCTTACGTTTGCCTCAATTTATGGTTTTCATAAATTTTAATGGAAAAATAGCTTTTCCTGGACTGCTCAAAGTTTCATTTTGTAAACAATATCTTTCTAACAGAAGAAAATGAAGACAAACGTGTGAAGGGAAAAAAATTGAGATATTTACTTCACCTCAAATAACCAGCATTGTATTCATAAAACACTGTATATCTAGCAAATCTTTATTTAAACTGAACAGTTGAACTGTTCATTTTTTTTCAGTCTGAAGTAAAAAAAAAATCCAAGACTTTTAAGTTTTGCCTGCTCATTTATCTTGTGCATTTCATGTCTGTATTTGACTCAAGTCTAATTCTTTTTTTTTTGAGTTTCAATACTTTTTTTGTGAAAAAATTGTGAAATATATATATAAAATAAATGTTTCAACACAATGCTGTTTACCATTCATGACATCTATTTTCTTTTGAAAGCATGTGATTCCCCACCCCTGCTTTTTTTTATTATTATTTTTAACTAATGAAGTCTGCATGGTTAGACTGTCATAGTGGTGATAAGGTTGGAATTGGGGAGAAAAGAATAATATCAGTGACAGGGAACCCGTTAGCCTTTAAAGCAAAAGGTGCTACTTATATATTGCCCCATAGTACTTAGTTCAACTCCATTAAAGATTATAAGAGGGTTGCGTGCATAATTTAAAAATATAACACTCTTTAAAAGAAAAACCACATTTCTCAGCCCTGGGTATGTGATGCCGTTTCCAGTTGTCTTTTCCAGACATTGGTAGCTGTGGGTAAGGTCCTAAGTGCAAATGGCAAGAAATCGGGATTGTAGTCTTAACAAGTACAACTGGCTGGATAGCTCAAGTGGTTTAGGTCTCTGACTGTGGAGCCAGAGAGGTTGGGGGTTCGATTCCTCCGCAGTACCTTCTGTGAATTGAAAAATGGATTGCCATAAGTCAGAATGAACAGCTCGTTAAGGATGATGAGTCTATCAACATTGGGCGGGCCACACCGTGCTCACAAACCCCACACAGTGTAGGAGGGCCTCCCCATAGATTCAGCAGCTGGCTAGCAAAAATGATCTGGTTCATAAAGGCATCATTGCTAGTGGTCAGCAAAATCCTTTTGACGATGGTTGCAATTTTTTATCTCCAGGAAGAGACCAGATGGCCGTCTGTCTTAGGTGCCGGCTGATGGAGGGAGGGAAACCCTACAGAAATGGGCCCCCTCTAACATGAAATGTCTAAAGTTGGCAGCAGTCAAGTACAGTAGGTTCTTCCTTTTTATCTATCTGGTTTCAACTGTGTTTTAGTCTGTTTTTTATGTTTTATTTAGAATTTATACATTGGTTGGCACAATGACTCCCAACCACCAAACATGATCATTGATTGGTTTATATCTCCACTTTCAAAACTGGGATTCAAGGTGACTCACAGAATTTAGCAGGGAAAGGTACCACTAAAAGCACAAACTAATCTGAAAACACTAGCCAGCTTTAAAATTGAAATCCAGTTAAATAAAAAAGAAATTATCTCGGCTAATTACACAGAGATCCTGTAAATCAGAAGCAAAGTACCTTCTCAAATAAGTATATGCTAAACACCTAATACTTCTAAGTTACTAAAACATACACTGCTAAAATTTGGTTGATTAACCCCATTGGTCAAATAGAACGAAGGCTTAATTATTTGCCTCTAATAAACTTTTACCTACAGTGCGAGGGGGGAAAAGTAAATTGTTAGCAGTGAGTGCAGTCAATCTATTCTGGAACAAGCCCATTTATTATCTCAGTGGCATTCCAGTATTTTTAACTCATTTTGCTTGCAATCTTATCCATCCCAGTTCACGTATCTTGGGCGCTCACAAGATGCCAACACAGAAAAAGGAGGAGGCAGAAGAAAACGTGCTTTCTGTAACTACCTCCCTCACAGTCTTCAGGGGGATAGAAGAGGCGGGGAACACGTGGTTCTTAATGTCGTATTTTCAGAGTCATTAAATCTAAACAAGCTTTTTGCAAAGTGGTGTGTTGCTACACAGCCGTATCTTTATTAGTTTAATTGCACTGGAAAATTGCTGCCGAGCAGCCAGCCGGTAAAACACAGTGTAAAGATAAGGCTCTATTTCTGGGTCTCTCCACCTCTTGTATGTTGTTCCTTTACCCACGCCTGAGTGCTCTCCCTGGACATCAACGGAGAGTGTAAACTGTACACGGCCGAAGTTGCACGACTGCCGTGGCCTCAGCCCGAGAAACCCGAGCGTTAACCACACGGAGAGGTTTCCAGGAAATATCAAAAGAGATGGGAGAACCGCTGGCCTCCTCGAGACGGTCAGGATCCCTCCACCCATCATGGTCACGAAGGAGGACCTCAGTTGTGGTCCTCCAGTCCCTAGGGTCACAGTTCCCTGGGGCACTTCAGGCGCTTAACCCTCCTTCGACCAACGAACAACCCTCCACCGGGTTGGCGCCTCTCGCCCAAACAAAGTGAATAAAGAGTTTAAAAAGCCGACGGAGGATGGAGACAACAAGGGGTAGGGGGGAGAATTCATGGAGGATGCTGTTCAACCCAGAATTTGGACACGGTTGCATCGTCTTTCTTTAGCCTGGCATGAAGGTGGGGAAAATTACAATCAAAAGGGAGGGGGGGGTGCAAGCAGCTGAATCCTCCCTCAGCAAAGTGTTCAGAGTTCGGAGATGGTCCCTACATGTTGGAATTGCAATTTGGAGGACAGAGAGAAGTATTAACCAGGCTCCCTTGACAGCTGCAGAAACTATTGTGGGGTGGGGGTGGGGCCTTCAAGCTAATTGGCAATTGCAATTAGAGTAGGTACAGAGAATCAGCTGCAGAGGGATGAGTTGACAGGTGTGTAAATCCAGTGGTTGGGACCACCAATTAGGTTTACGGCCTTCTAAACTGGGAGACAACTGGAGGGCTGACTAAGCTCCCTGGAGGGATAGATCACACCTTTTGCTCTCTCTGGAGCAGGCTGACTTCCTTAATTTACAGAAGAAGAAGAAACCGTCATTTTGCATTGTGTTGTAATTACATTTTTCATTCTGCTTCTAAGGTCATGGGAAGGAAAGACTGGTGCAGGGGGAAAAAGGTAGAACTCAGGTTGCAAAGGTCAGTGGATAAAGAAGGCTTTGTTAAACAGACCTCAAGCTAGGAGATGAAACGAGAAACAGAGAGAGAAAGAAATACAGTACAGACCTGGAGAAGTTGAGCTCCGGATAGCGGCTAGGCGCTTTGGGGCTGAAACCGAGGCTGTCCTATTTGGGGGCACATCAGGAGAAAGCAGGGGTCTCTGGAAAAAACCATCGTGCTGTGAAAAGTAGACGGCAGCAGGAAAAGAGGAAGGCCCCAATGTGAGATGGGCAGGCTCCCTAAAGGAAACCATGACCTTAGAGCTGATTAAGAGCTGACCAGGGCAGAGGAGGACAGGGCCTTTTGGAGGCGGCTCATCCACAGGGTCGCCCTAAGTCAGAGGCAACTTGATGGCACACAAGAAGGAGGATAACAGGATAAAAATGTCTCCTGAGACTCTTCCGCTGCCTTCTTGCACTAGATCAGAGTACTGTCAAGCCAAAGGAAAGCTTCCTCTCTAGAGATTTTTTGGGAACATGGGGGGGGGAAGAGGGGGTGGCATCTAATTACTCAGGCTCAGCTTTTAAAGCACACTTGACGAGATTATATACCTCCCATGGCTCAGCGGGGGCCCGGCTGGGGTCCTGATGCTTTAAAACAGTGGTCCCCAATCTTGGGCCTCCAGATGTTCTTGGACTACAACTCCCAGAAGCCTTCAGTACCACCTCTGCTGGCCAGGGTTTCTGGGAGTTGAAGTCCAAGAACATCTGGAGGCCCAAGGTAGAGGACCACTGCTTTAAAATACATCCCACCGCCAAGCAAACACAAGAGGAGCACTCCCAACCGTGCATGCACGAGCGAAGCAATCCCAACCACGCATGCATGCATGCACAAGCAAGCACACAAATTCCCCCCACTCCCTCCCTAGAGATCCAGATGGAGTTTGGAATTTTAGCAACAACAGGTAAATATACCTGTGAAACCTAAAACCTGCCTAGAAGGCGCCTAGAGGGGTCGCATTGACAAGATAGGCGGGGTACAAATATATATGAATGAATGAATGAATGAATGAATGAATTTTGCATCCTCACGGTTTTCAACTTTTTAAGACGTTCTCCTTTTTCCAAGGAGAAAGGCAGGGTAAAACATATTTTCAATAAAGTAAAAGAAATGATTCTTCTTGCCTGCAGTCGGAAACCAAAACGTGGCAATCATGGTACAGTATATCTTAAATAGAAACAGTTCAACCCAACCACGCCAAGAAAAAACAAAAAAGTTACCAGTTTTGGGTGGCTTGTTGAACAGTTTTTTTTTCCTTTAATACAGGAATGGCTGCAAGGTTTTTTTAACTCGCTGCAAACCGCTCCAAATAGGAGGAGGGCGCGGCACCAATGGGGCGGTATAGAAATAAAATGAGATAAAAAACAAAAAATGAATGAATGAGCGGCTCCCTCCTGGAGGTCCAAGAGGTCCGGTCTCGCCGGCCCCACCCTCTTCCTCCGGCTCCCCGCCGGCCAAGGGCCCGGGAGGCGGGGCTTTCCTCGAGGCCCCG